CGTGAGGGTGCTGGGTCTGCTTGTGTGGCCTCTCGCGGTGCTTCGTCGAGGCGGGAGCCACTCTCTCCGCAGGAGCTGCGCGAGTGGTTTGCCCGGCGCTGGAGCCTTGCTGCTGGAGCTGGAGGTACTACTGTTGCTGCTGGTCCCGAAGGTGCTCCTACTGGCGACACTGAAGCTGCTGGGGCTTGGGGTGCTGCTGAAGGTACTGCTGAAGCTGCTGGCGGTACTGGAGCTGCCGGTCCTGCTGGAGTTGGTGCTGCTGGAGCTGCTGGAGCTACTGGAGCTGGAGCTGCTGGGGGTGTCGTCGCTGGTGGTTCTGCTGGCGCTGGTGCGTCTGAGGGTGCTGGAGTTGGCGCTGTTGGAGCTGGAGGTGCTTCGGCGTTGGTGCTACCTCTGGGGGTGCTGGTGATGTCCCTGCTGCTTCTGGAGGCGCTGCGCGGCCGAGGCCGTACTTCGTTCCGCTCCTTGAGCAGGTTCTTCGTCTCCTGCCCTCTCCTGGTCCTGCTCCTCCCTTAGAGTGTCCTCAGCCTTTCCAGTCGCAGTCACAGTTACAGCCCGCCTCCCCCCTGCCTGCTCCTTCTCCCTACACTGGTCCTACTGGAGGTCTTGCTGAGCGTCATGAGCCTGCGTCTCGTCCTGCGTCGCCTGTTCGTGTTGCTCGCACTAGTCGTCGTGCTCCGCGTTCGCGTCCTCCTGCGGTCCCAGGCACACACCAGATGGCACTGCGTTCGTCCACTGCTCCTCTGCGTGTCCCGTTGCCATCTCCTGAAGAGTCCTCTCTTCCTGTTCTTGCTGACCCGGAATCTGACTCTCTTCGTGCTGCCAGTCCTACTGTCACGCGTCTACTGGCTACTACTGTCACTGACCCTTCCTTTGAGTCCACTGCTGCGTCTGCCTTAGTTGCTGAGCTTGTCGACTTTGCTGCTCGCTGTCGTCTAGACTACGCTGCTAGTCTCGTTGCTTAGTCTGCGTCTGTTTGTCCTCCGTCCGTCGGGGGTGAGTGTGCTCTTAGCACGGACGTCCTTGAGGACAGGCAGGAGGACTTCCAGTGTTTTGCTGCTGCTTCGCCTCATCTCGTGTCCACGTTGATTGCCCTTGGGGGAGACCCGGATGCACCAGACATCCCGACTCCTCGATCGTACGCTGAGGCGATCGAGGGTCCCTACTCCTCTCAGTGGCAGTCAGCCATGGACGCAGAGATGGCTTCCTAGAAGTCCACAGGCACCTACGTCGACGAGGTTCCCCCACCTGGGGCGAACATCGTCAGTGGCATGTGGATTTTCAGGGTGAAGCGGCCGCCGGGTTCTCCTCCTGTCTTCAAGGCGCGTTACGTGGCTCGAGGCTTCAGTCAACGGCAGAGAGTTGACTACTTTCAGACCTTCTCTCCCACCCCGAAGATGACCACTCTTCGGGTGCTGCTGCACATAGCCGCTCAGCGCGACTACGAGCTCCACTCTCTTGACTTTAGCACAGCTTTCCTGCAGGGCAGCCTGCACGAGGAGATCTGGCTGCGCCGCCCACCTGGCTTCACTGGGTCGTTTCCTCCTGGTACCTAGTGGAGCCTCCGGCGGCCAGTCTACGGTCTCCGCCAGGCGCCCCGTGAGTGGCACGACACACTGAGGACTACACTTGCGGCTCTTGGGTTTGCTCCTTCTACTGCCGACCCGTCGCTGTTTCTACGCACCGACACCTCTTTGCCACCTTTCTACGTCCTCGTGTACGTCGATGACTTGGTCTTTGCCACTGCTGACACTGCTGGACTCGCCCACGTGAAGTCCGAGCTGCAGAAGAGACACACGTGCACAGACCTGGGTGAACTGCACAGCTACCTTGGCTTGCAGATCACCCGGGACAGAGCACAGCGCACCATTACCCTGACTCAGTCACAGATGGTGCAGCAGGTCCTTCAGTGCTTCGACTTCACGTTCTCCTTGCCTCAGGCCACTCCTCTGTCTACTCGTCACTCGCTCTCAGCTCTGCCTTCGGATGAGTCCGTAGAGCCGAGTGGCCCGTACCCACAGCTTGTTGGCTGCCTCATGTACCTGATGACCTGTACACGACCTGACCTTGCATACCCTCTTAGCATCTTGGCACGCTATGTTCCTCCTGGGAGACACCGACCAGAGCACATGGCTGCAGCGAAGAGGGTGTTGCGCTACTTGTGCAGTACGTCTAGCATGGGGCTAGTGCTTGGAGGGCGACGTCGAGTGGTCCTCACAGGTCACACAGACGCTTCTTGGGCTGACGACCAGGCTACGCAGCGGTCGTCACAGGGTTACACCTTCTGTCTTGGCTCCGGCTCTGTTTCGTGGCGGTCTATCCGCTCGTCTTCTGTTCTCGGCTCCAGCTGTGAGGCTGAGATCTACGCGGGGGCCATGGCTGCACAGGAGCTACGCTGGCTCACCTACCTGCTGACTGACCTAGGAGAGCCGCCTCGTTCTCCTCCAGTGCTGTACGTAGACAACAAGGCCATGCTGGCCTTGTGTCAAGAGCACAGACTGGAGCACAGAACGAAGCACATTGCTCTTTGCTACTTCCTTGCTCATGAGCTGTAGCAGCGTGGTCAGCTGCGCCTTGCTTACGTGGCCTCTGAGGCCAACACTGCTGATATCTTTACCAAGGCACTTCCGCCTGGTGATCATCAGCGCTTCTGTACGATGCTAGGTCTTGTGCCTACTTGGCCTCACTTTCTCACTTCTTGACCTTGCTTGTACTGTGATCTTTCTATACCTGCACTTGCTTGTTTACCTTTATATATGATCTTGCATGTGAACTGGCCTTTTGGCCTTGCTCTTGTGCTCGGATTGTGTGGTGACGTTGTGATCCACCCTGAGCTTGTTTTGCTTTGCTTGACTGGTCTTGTGACCTCTTGTTCTCCCCCACTTTGCCTATGGGGGTGTGTCAAACTTGTATGCTATAGTCAGTGTAGGCTGTAGTGGGGTAGACTATATGGGGTACAACATTTCTAGGTTTTCCTACTTGTACCCACCTGCTTGCTAGTTCATTCATTCCTCATTCTCTCACAGATACTTCTGCCGCTGACGGTCTAAATGCTTCTAAATATACGCGACAGTTCGTATCACCCTGATCGTTCGCATTCGTAATCGATTGTGACAGTGCCTTGTTACGAACAGGAATGCAATGCACTCAAATTTCCTCCAATCCTGGTTGTAGCAAATATTGACTCGCGTGACCACTCCACTTATATAACCTTAGTGGTGGTAAGACTGATGGGGCTGTCACTCTGTGAGGAAGTCATGTGCCATGTCACAAGTCGGGTAGTACGTCAGATTGACACTTCTTTTGACAATTTCGTCCTTGATGAAAAAGCATCGCATCGCAATGTGCTTGGTGTGATTGACGAATCCTAGCTTGTTCGCAATCCTGATCGCGCTTTGGTTGTCGCAGTGAAGACGGAAGGTCTGCGAAGCTGGTTTTTTCGCCTCTTGTAGGAGCTCCTATAGATAGAGCCACTTGCAACCGATTGAGCTTCCACCGATCACAGGGCAATCAGCTCCTGCTTTTGAGAATTCCAAATGATGGGCCCTTTTGGCTCGAGTCGAAACAGGAAGTCGTTTCTTGACCGTCGATTGTCGGGATCAGCGGCGTGATCGACATTCACGTAGCCGATGAGGTTAAAATGAGGGAGTCCGATGTTGGTTGTGTTAGAGGTCCACAGATGATCCTCGATTGATCCTAGGGAAGGGTTACAAGCACGTTGGCCAGGGGGGTTATGGGCGCACTTAACCGCTATACAAACAAGCCATTTTATCCCAATGGTATAGTGGTCGGGATTCTGACAGGTTGCTGAAATAAAAAATTGCCGAGCGCGCTGAAGATCCTGAAAGAATCTCAGCCATTGGTCTGCGTGAGAATCCAGCCAATTGGTGTTAGAATATATCTGTAACTGCCTGTAGCTGTAGTTAGTGTAGTTATTATAAACTTGTTGGTGGTGCACCTTCTTTGCATGCTTTGTTTGCTATTTGTACCTCGCTCAATAGTGAACTCCCCACTCTTTGCCTAAACTCTCTCGACTCCCTTTGGCCTAGGCTACTAAGCCTAGGCCCTACTCTTACTATCTCAACATGGTATTCAGAGCAGGTACCTTCCTGCTGCCTTCCTTAACGGGCCCACCAATGTGCTTCCGCTGCCTATCGTCCTGCCGCGCGCCTCGGGCGCGCGGCGTATTTTTCTCGCCGTGTGCTCGGGGCGCACGGCGGTTTTCTGCCCGCCGTGCGCCCTGGGTGTGCGGCGTCTTCCTGCCCCGCGTGCGGCCTGCCTTCACGCCGCCTGTGCGCCTGCCTCACGTCCACGCGCGGGCCTGTTTTGCCCGCCTGTACCCTCCATTTCGCGGCACCCTGCGAGGCGCCGCTCCTGCTCGTCGCGACGCACCTGCGGGACCCGCGGCGTCGCCCTGCTCGTCGCGACACCCCTGCGGGACCCGCGGGGCGTCGCCACTGCTCGTCGCGGCGCCCACTGGACGCCGCCCCTGCTCGTCGCGGCGCCCCTGGGGCGTCACCCTTGCTCGTCGCGGCGCCCCTTGGGCGCCGTCCCTGCTCGTCGCGGCGCCCCTTGGGCGCCGTCCCTGCTCGTCGCGGCGCCCTCCCCCCTGGCGACCGCCTCTGCCATGCACCAGCGCCGCCCCTGGAGCAGCCGCCCTTGGACCCAGAGCAGCCGCCCCTGGCCCCTGGAGCAGCCGCCCCCGGTGCAGCCGCCCCTAGACCTCCGCAGCCGCCCTTGGCCCCTGCTGCAGCCGCCCCTGTTGCAGCCGCCCCTGGACCCAGAGCACCCGCCCCTAGCCCCTGGAGCGGCTGCCCCTGGTGAAGCCGCCCCTGGACCTCCGCAGCCGCCCCTGGACCCCGCGGCTCCGACCCTGCAGCAGCCCGCAATGCCGCTCAGGGACCCCGCGAGCCGCCCCAGCAGCAGCCCACGGCGCCGACCCTGCAGCTGCATGCGCCGCCACTCCTGGACTCGGTACGGCTGCCTGCCTGTGCTGCCTGATGCCGCCCGTTGCTGCCTGTGCCTGTGCTGCCCGTTGCCGCCCGTTGCTGCCCGTGCCTGTGCTGCCCGTTGCCGCCTGTTGCTGCCCGTGCCTGTGCTGCCCGTTGCCGCCCGTTGCTGCCCGTGCCTGTGCTGCCCGTTGCCGCCCGTTGCTGCCCGTGCCTGTGCTGCCCGTTGCCGCCCGTTGCTGCCCGTGCCTGTGCTGCCCGTTGCCGCCCGTTGCTGCCCGTGCCTGTGCTGCCCGTTGCCGCCTGTTGCTGCCCGTGCCTGTGCTGCCCGTTGCCGCCCATTGCTGCCCGTGCCTGTGCTGCCTGTTGCTGCCCGTGCCTGTGCTGCCTGTTGCCGCCCGTTGCTGCCTGTGCCTGTGCTGCCCGTTGCTGCCTGTTGCTGCCCGTGCCTGTGCTGCCCGTTGCCGCCTGTTGCTGCCCGTGCCTGTGCTGCCTGTTTCTGCCCGTGCCTGTGCTGCCCGTTGCCGCCCGTTGCTGCCCGTGCCTGTGCTGCCCGTTGCCGCCCGTTGCTGCCCGTGCCTGTGCTGCCCGTTGCCGCCTGTTGCTGCCCGTGCCTGTGCTGCCCGTTGCCGCCCGTTGCTGCCCGTGCCTGTGCTGCCTGTTGCTGCCCGTGCCTGTGCTGCCTGTTGCCGCCCGTTGCTGCCTGTGCCTGTGCTGCCCGTTGCTGCCTGTTGCTGCTCGTGCCTGTGCTGCCCGTTGCCGCCTGTTGCTGCCCGTGCCTGTGCTGCCCGTTGCCGCCCGTTGCTGCCCGTGCCTGTGCTGCCTGTTGCTGCCCGTGCCTGTGCTGCCTGTTGCCGCCCGTTGCTGCCTGTGCCTGTGCTGCATGTTGCCGCCCATTGCTGCCCGTGCCTGTGCTGCCCGTTGCCGCCCGTTGCTGCCCGTGCCTGTGCTGCCCGTTGCCGCCCGTTGCTGCCCGTGCCTGTGCTGCCCGTTGCCGCCCGTTGCTGCCCGTGCCTGTGCTGCCTGTTGCTGCCCGTGCCTGTGCTGCCTGTTGCCGCCCGTTGCTGCCTGTGCCTGTGCTGCCCGTTGCTGCCTGTTGCTGCTCGTGCCTGTGCTGCCCGTTGCCGCCTGTTGCTGCCCGTGCCTGTGCTGCCCGTTGCCGCCCGTTGCTGCCCGTGCCTGTGCTGCCTGTTGCTGCCCGTGCCTGTGCTGCCTGTTGCCGCCCGTTGCTGCCTGTGCCTGTGCTGCATGTTGCCGCCCGTTGCTGCCCGTGCCTGTGCTGCCCGTTGCCGCCCGTTGCTGCCCGTGCCTGTGCTGCCTGTTGCCGCCCGTTGCTGCCTGTGCCTGTGCTGCCCGTTGCTGTCTGTTGCTGCCTGTGCCTGTGCTGCCCGTTGCCGCCCGTTGCTGCCCGTACCTATGCTGCCCCTGCTCTTCCCCCTCCCCCTTCTTCGTCTCCCTGCTGCACGTGCAGCCGTGGAACGGAGGCTATGGGGGTGGCGGGTATGGGGGTGATGGGTGTGTGTGATCCCCTTCCCCTCCTCCTCCTTTCTCTCCCACTGCTGCAACTGCTGCTGGGGGGGGGGTGGGTGTGAGGGTGTGGGGGAGCTGGGGGAGAGGTGCTAGGGTTGTCGAGGAGTGTGGAAGGGGGAGTTGGAGGACTGAGGAAGGTTCCAGGAAGCAGCCGCCTTGGAGCCAGCAGCTTCACCTGCCAGCAGCTTCTCCTCATATAGTCCCTCCTCCTCACTTGCCCTCTCCTTTTGCTGCGCTTGGTGTACCCCTTCAGGGGGTGTCTCTGCATTAGCTTCTGCTGCAGGCAGTTATGGGGGAGTGTCAGAATATATCTGTAACTGCCTGTAGCTGTAGTTAGTATAGTTATTATAAACTTGTTGGTGGTGCACCTTCTTTGCATGCTTTGTTTGCTATTTGTACCTCGCTCAATAGTGAACTCCCCACTCTTTGCCTAAACTCTCTCGACTCCCTTTGGCCTAGGCTACTAAGCCTAGGCACTACTCTTACTATCTCAACACTTGGCTCGCGATGTAAGAGATCAGGCATGTAGGTCACAGAGATGAAGAATAGGCATCCCAAATACTGCTGGTAGGATTGAAGTCATGTGCGGGACAGGGCTTTGTTGTCTGGTTTGTAGTTCGGTCCAGGCGTACAAAAGGTGTTGAGAGTGGCACGGGAGCAGTTTCCAAGTGTATCAGCGTACTTGGAAGCTGAGAGGTGAATGTTTCAGGGGTGTATGGAATGTGAAGTCCCAAAAACTGCGTCACGTAATGGTTCGTGGTGATGTTGACGCGTAGGGAGATATTTTTTTTCTCGAACTGGTCGAGAAGCGTGTTGCTCGTCCCCGTGTAAAGTAGGTCGTCCAAGTAAACTGTGAATAAGATGTAGTATTTGCAGAAATGTAGGCGGCACATCCTGGGATCGTACAAGAGTTGCATGAATCCTATTTCCATCACGATTTTGTGCATGTGCTGCTGCCAGAGCGTAGGCGCCTGCTTGATCCCGTACAGGGACTCCTTAAGTTGGAAGACGCGTGAGTCCCCTTCGTCGTAGGTGTGCAGCTGCTCCACAAAAATAACGGCACCCACTAACGCATACATAAATATGTTCTTCACATCGATTTTGCAGAACTGCAAGTGCCTTACTGTAGCAATGGTGAGCAGGATGCGCACGGAGGTATGGCGGCTAACAGGGGCGAACGTCTGATCGATGTCGATGCCATGGCATTGGTCATAGCCTCGCATGACCCAGCGCCCTTAAAGTGCTCAGTGGTGACTTGAGCCGTGGGTTTTCATGCGGAAAACCCACTTGCCCAAGAGGACGCGCCTTCTCTTGATTGCTGCTCAGTCAAAGAGCACCTATGTGTCGCGTAATTAAAGCGCCTTGATCTCTGCATCCATGCCGGTCTTTGCTTTGAGGACCCGTTAGTGCCTGTTGCAACTTTTTTTGTTCGATGACGCATGGAGCCGAAGAGGCCGTAGGTGGAGTCCCAACAGCTGTAGTCCAGAGACGGTTTCAGGAGTTGAAAATTTTCATGGCGTCCCCGCCAGTTCTATGCATCTCTGACCCGTCCAAGCCATTCAAAGTCGTCACAGATGCTTTAAATTTCGCAATTGGTGAAATGTTGCTCTGAGATTTCAGCAACATTTTACAAACGATCGCCTATGAGTCACGCAAATTGCAGGTAGCCAAGCGCAACTACCAGATTCACGAAAAGGAGATGCTCGCCATCATCCACGCATTCAAATTGTGGCACTGCTACCTGACTGGCGTGGATGTCACTGTTTGCACCGATCATAAATCCTTACATTACCTTCGCGCGCAGCTCAATCTCAACCCGTGACAAATCTGGTGGCTCGATAACGTGGATTCACACTTCTGCTTAGTGAATCCTTGGTTCGAACCTCTCCGGACATTTCGGAGTGACAGGACACCGAAAACTCTGCATTGACAATATTACTGGCCCGACTCTAACTTTGACGTACAACGTTATGTGTCTTCATGCAGAATGTGACACGTAAGCGACCGGCCGGCCTGCTGCAGCCCTTTGAGCCACCCGAGCGACCATGGCAACAGATGACGATGGACTTTGTCACGGGGCTGCTAGCTGGCGCGTCCGGCATCGACGCAGTGTTTGTTGTCGTCAATTGCCTCACGAGGATGGCACATTTTTCACCATGTCGTACAACCATCGCTGCCAAGGAAGTTGTGCTCATGTTCATCTTAACTGTTGTTCGACTTCCGGAATCACGTCTGCAATCGCAGCGACCGCGACCGGAAGTTCCCGTGAAGTACTGGAAAGAAACCAGGGCGCACTATGACACAAGACTACAGTTCATGTCGGCCTACCATCCGCAAACCGATGGACAGACTAAGCGCACCAATTAGACAATGGAGCAGCTCCTTTGCACAAAATGTCCCGACCCTGCTCGATGGGAAAAGTCCCTCCTAGAGCTAGAACTCGCATACAACAACGCACCGTTTAGCATGACCAACCATTCCCCGTATTTCCTGAATTACAGAATGGATCATATGATACCCACAACGACAACTTCTGAGAACCAGGTTCCATGTTCACAACACTTTGTGTCGAAGCTTCAGGCCGTCCGCGAGAAAGCTCTCGAAGCCATTCGCAAAGCTAATGTAACTGCCTGCAAAGACTCTGATCTCCTACGCTGGGAGATCACCATGGTTGCAGGGCAACTAGTCCTACTCAACATGAAAATACTTCCACTAGCCTTCTCGCCGAAACCCCGCCCACAATATGGTGGTCCGTTCCGCATGATGAAGGTAATTACCCCGGTCATGGCGAAACTTTTGTTGCCCGACGATTGGCCTGTGCACGATGCGTTCCACCTTAGCCTCCTTCGGCCTTTTGTTGCTTCCATGATAGATATCGTCTGCCAAAACGCCGCCCCAATGGCACGACCTGTTTTTGAATCCTATAGGGAGGGAATCTTGTGAGCATAAGAGGTTTCCTTGATTCCACAGGCAGATATGCTTGACGAGGTAAATACCGGGAAGATCAAATTTGTGGCCGACGCTTCAGGTTCTTTGCTCTTTGTGATTACTGCTGGGAATGCCAAGGTGATGGGAGCCAATGGGGAACTTGTGGGGCTGGGGAATGTGCTGCTGGTTGAAGGTTTGTCCGCTAACCTCCTTTCTATGTGTAGGCTGCAGAATAGCAAGGCTGAAGTGACATTCAGCCCAACCAGCTGCCGTGCAAAGCTTGAGAAGTTGCTGCTATGGAACCTGGACGAGAAGAGTAGCAGCATCAAGGACCTGTGGCAGCTGCCCATCATCCCTTAGAATGGGAAACCTCCAGCAGCGGCAGCAGCAACGGCAAAGGCAACTGTGGAAGGAGAGGAGACTGCACCAACTGATGGGGCCCTGGATGCAGTCAAGAAGGTGCAGCAGCCACAGCAATCACATGGTGAGGTATTTTCTGGTGTGAATGGAACAGTTTCTCGGGCAAAAGCTTCATCTGGGAGTGGTGAGGCCGATTGGGAGACGTGGCACGAGAGGTTGTGTCACATCCACATTTCTAGCTACAGAAGTTGGTGAAGGATGGGAGCTTGAAGGGGTTGGAGGTAAAGGGGGCAGCAAAGGAGATTGGGAGCTGCCCTACATGCCTTGAGACCAAGTTCACCAAGTTCCCCTTCAGCAGCAGCACAAGACCGGCCAAGGCACCACTTGCAATTGTGCATATGGATGTGGTGGGCGCTACGAGGGCCAACTCTCTCTCCGGGAGCCGCTACTTCTTGACCATCGTGGATGACCACACGCGTGTGGTATGGGTGTACCCTCTCAAGACCAAGGAGGAGGTGGCAGCGGCTGTCTTAAAGGAGTGGATGTCGAGAGCTCAAAGGGAGAGCGGACACAATGTGAAGGTGATCCGCACCAACAATGGAGGGGAATTCATTGACGATGAATTTGAGGCGGTGCTGAAGAAAAAGGGGATCCAGAATCAGCTCATAGTGCCTTACAAACCTTAGCAGAACGGCGTGGCTAAGCGGTTCAACTGGAACCTGCAGGAAGGTGCAAGCACTCTCCGTGGACGTGCAGGGCTGCCGGATCCATTTTGGATGACTACACTGCGGCAGGTCGTTCTTGTGAAGAACAGGGTGCTGGCGACTATTAGGAACAAGCAATGGGTCCCCTACACCAAGTGGTATGGGAGTTCACCAGTAGACAACATGCTGAGAGCCTATGGCTGCATGGTGGTGTTTCATGTGTCTAAGGAGAAGAGGGGAAAGCTAGAAGCTTCTGGGAGATGGGGTGTGCATTTGGGATTGCAAAGGACCACAAGGGCTGGCTGTTGTAGGACTTGACCAGCCAGAAGCTGACTGTTTTGAGGGATGTGAAGTTCCTTGAGTCACTGTACGACAAGGAGTGGAAGCAGCAGCACCAGAAGCTTCCCACTACACCGCTGGTCATTGAGGCGGATGAGGTGCAGCGGCCTTCGAGGCAAGTGCAGGTCACTATCTCTGAGGAGATCTTTAGGGTAACTAAAGTTTGGGGAGAACCCGAGGTGGAGCAGTAGCGCAGCAAGATGCTGCACCACATGCCCCACACCCGCCTGAGCGTCCTAGAAGGGATGTACGCCCTCCTGCCAGGCTGACCTATGCAAGTCGTGGCACGCCAAGTGTCCTGCCAGCTGGGGGTGTGATTGAGCAGTGTGATGAGGATGAGATAGCCTATTGCTATAGGCCTGAAGTGAGAAGGTTTGGAGGATAGTGTTGTAAGAGAGGGGCTGCAAAGGGGTGCTGCAAGTTTGAGAAAAAATGAGATGTGCGAATGTTCATTGAGATGCGTGTTGGAAGTGAATGAAGCTTGGTGGAATGTGTGTGCATTAATTGTGCATGCATGAGCTGAGGCATGTGAGGTGATGGTTGGCAGCCATAGGGGGAGTTTGTTGTGTGATGCTATCATTTGCATTCACGTCTGTCTGCCTCCCATCATATGTTCGTGCGTTGCATGCATGGTGTGAGCGTTGTCAATAATTTCTTTCTGGTGTGGTTTGGATTTTTAGAGTGTGTGTGTGTGTGTCAATGTTATTTTGCTTGAGCAGATAACTGAAGTGACTCATCTGCTCAAGAGCTTTCCGATGAACCAAAGATCGCTTCAATCGGAGCACGAACGAGAAAGTTACAAACGGTTGAAGTTCGTATGCTTTTTATATTTGGTTGCAGCGACTATGGGAATTTGTGGGGTTAATCTATATAAGATATAGACCATTTGGGGTTGAGAAATTCGTCACCATCACTGTAGATGATGTCAAGTGGTTGGGAGAAGCCAAACCAGATTTGCAAGTGTGGCAAAGTTGGGAGAGGTGGATTTGAGAGGTTGGGAAAAAGACAAGGGTTAAGGTTGGGTTCCTATAGAGAGGGAATCTTGTGAGCATAAGAGGTTTCCTCGATTGGGGACTCCTTGGGGACCTTCCCTCTAGTCCTCCTCTTCCCTCCTGTCTGGTTTCTAGCTACTCTAATTCCCTTGTATGGTACTTGTGAGATAATTGTGATTGAGTTAAGTTTCTGTGGCAGCATACCCCCCGGTGCGCCGAAATTCATAACTCCGGTTTGACTTCACGTAATGATACGATTCGATTTGGGAATTGGGAATTGAAATTGGTGAAGGTTTCATGGTGCAATTTTTGTCTACGACGTTTTTTGTGAAGTCTAGGTTTCTGTCCAGAAATATAGTGAAACGATTTTGAGATATTTCGGCCCCTAATCTTCATAGACTCCGTCCTTAGTTTCCAACACTGAACCGACGCTTGACTCGTCGAAAATCCTGAAGTACCGCGTACGACTAGATGCAAGTGGGCACCATGTGGATTTTTTGATCCATTGGACTGACCGCACCAGCGAGGACGATACTTGGGTGCCATCCGCCTCGCTTGAAGCACCTTCGCTGCTTCAGGATTACCTCGCCCGCAAGCGTGTCATGGACATTGGCCACGAGGAGGGGGGGGGGGGGGGAGGGGGGATGGTTGGTGTAAGGGTACATTCCGCGCTGGACACTTTCTCAAAGAATGTGTCCCAATCGATTTTGGCCCGAGTCGCCCTCAAATGTCTCGAGTCCTCATGTCCCAATCGACCAATGTACCGCGACATTGTACGACCAGGGCAACAATTATGTGTGAACAAATATGATTGGTGATTTCTGGTGGGGGCCCAGGGTTTAGCCGCGTCATATGCACCACCACTGCCAGGCCCGCAAATGAACATGGGGGGTGGCGGGGGAGGTCGCGGAGTGTTACCGACGGCTGCGCAACCCCCAATAATTGCCATACACAAAATTACGATGGTCGCAGTACATCACGAACAAGCACAACATAAAGCAAACAGCGCTCAATTCGAGCCACAACGCTCGCAAGATCTACGCACCATGGCTGAGCCAAGGCCCATCCCGTTCATCGTACGCCTACTTGTCGCCTGGGTCACGTACTACTACACAATCTTCCACGAGACTGTCGCCAAGTCCTTTGTCGGACTGATTGAGGCTGGTATACTCGAAGACGCGGACGAGCAGTCCTCGTCTCTTGGGGACGACAACGCGGAGAACCACCGTCACAGAGCGAGAGTACGGCGGCAACGCCATGCGCTGTGGGTTGACGACCTGCAACATATGTGGGAGAACGATTTCCAAGACATTTTCAGAATCAATCGCGCCATACTTGAGCACATCAAGACTGGCATGCGCCAATGTCTTGAACCAATCGTACATCGGTCCTGGATTACAATGGACACAGCTTTGCTCATCCCTATAAAATACTTAGCAAGCGGAATCTCCTTCGTCGATATGTCATACCTCTTTGGGGTCTCCAAGACACTCTGCCACGAGCTAGTCGACCTCTTCCTCATCGAGCTCCCCGCCCTCTTCAAGGCCGCTTGGGTGCGATTCCCCACACGAGCAGAACTTCCAGAGTTGGCGCGTGAATTCGCCGCCATGAAAGGTGTGCATGCAGTGGTTGGAGCTATAGACGGGACTCACATCCACATGAGTGGGATAGAGGGGCACCGGACCGAGTATCGGACAAGGAAATCGGCATACGCAGTGCAGCTCCAGATCACATGTGATGCACGGGGAAGGATATGGGATTACCTCATCGGTTATCCCGGCAGCGCGCACGACCTGCGTGTGTTCAAAAACTCCGCACTATTGGAAAGGTTACAGAACGGTGACATAGACCCCTACCAAATTGTCGGGGATGCGGCATACCCGCTCAGAGAATACTGCCTAACCCCACTTCATGCCCCATGCGGAGAGGATCTAATGGACGACTGGGCCCAGTGTTTTAACTACTGCCAGAGCGCTACGCGCATGGCGGTGGAGAGGTGCATCGGCGCCTTCAAAGGAAGATGGCGCCTCTTCAACGGGCGCAATGATTGCAGGTTATGGCGCATTCTTGCCGGGGCCGCTTGCTGTGTGATCCTGCACAACATGTGTGAAAACATGGCAGACGTGAGGAGCGTGAATATGGCCTGGTTCCATCTGCCCCGCAACCGCGACCCATGGTGGACAAGGGGAGCCGTCGCGGATCACAAGTGGGAACCATGTGTCCCCGCGACACAACAGGCCCTGAGGGAGAGAAGGAAAAGACTAGGGGAAGCTTTGCAAGAATCTTACGCTAATTGTCGGCGCCGCGGACCCATATCTCCACATCGTCATCAACCGGAGCGACGGTGTTGACATCGCCGGCCTCGTCGCGCTGCACGCCGGCATCGCCTCCAACTGCGTTTAGCGCGGCACGCCCGGGAGGTGGTGCAGACTCCCTGCGTGGCGGAGGATGGCTGAAGTCCGTTGTTTCGCGATGCACATGCGGTGGAACTGATTTAGTCATGCGCTCGTGGGCTAGGCGCAATTCCTGCGCCATCCATTCGCGGACGAGACCCTCGATGCGCGTCATGGCGTCACCGTGGCAATCCTTGATGGTCGCAGATACAAGCATGGCGGCTTGCATAGTCGCCGTCTCATGTACCCTTGTGCGCTTAGGTGTAGCGTTGGTTTGCGGCGGCGATGCTGTCACAGAAATGCATGGAAGCACGCAAGTTGTGATTAGTAGCTTCAATAGTGTACGATCATTCTAACGATTGATACAAATTGACAAATAGCCGATTGTTGCTTGACGCCCATAAATGACCACGGTACGCGCATGCGGAACAAGAACCGAATCTCACCTGTGAAGGTCGGCGTCGAAGTGACGGGCTGGGAGGAACTTGGTACCTCCATGCCCGCCTGCACGTTGACGTTCGTTGCGCCGCCGCTGTCTACCGCATGCGGTGCGGCTGCAGCGGTGTCCTTGTTGAAAGAGCTCCAAGTACAGCCACCATGGCGGTTTCTCCACAGATCCGTTGCCCGAACCACCATCTCCCTGCTTGTATTCCTTCCAGATCAGCATCAAGTTGCGCCACTGCTTCTGCAATGCATTGACGTTCCTGCACCAACCCGGGGTTCGACTCCTTGATGTGCGCGAGAAGGCGCACCCAGTACTGCGTCCCCTGCTTGCCCTTAAGCGGCTCAAGTTCTTCCTTAGTGAACCAACGCGCCGCGGCGAAGATGGTGCTTTCCTTGTCCGACCACATGCCCCTCTCTACCGGGGCAGCCAACCGCTTCTTCAGGGGCTCCTGTCGTGGCGGTGGTGCAGCCGCCTTGCCTTTGCCTTTATCAGCGGCAGAAACACGAGGGGCGCTCCGTTTTGGCGGCTGAGTCACAGGTTGCACTTCCTCCTCCGCGTCGTCGTCGGCGTCGTCATCGTCTCCCTCGTCGTCTGACGGGGACATCCCCGTATCCTCAGGCTCTTCGTTCTCCTCGTCACTGCCGTCGGCTTCTTCGGCGTCTTCCTCATCGTCGTCATCCACGAATTTCTCGGCGACGGGCCGAATTGTTGCACCGGTTCGAGGCGGCTGGCGGCACACACGTGACGGACCGGCGCTGGGTGACGGTGCACTAGAACCCTGCTCGTCAGGCGCGGGCGGAGCGGATAAGCCGGTAGGATGACGGCCGTTAGCGATCTGTTGGTTCATCCAGCGGATGTACGGGATGTCGTTAAGGTCCTTGGGGCAGTCGTTAAGGGATTGGCCCTTATGCTTACGAGCCATTACGGGAACACAGAGCGTGTCACGATCTAGATCTGGTGTGACAGGGAGGAAAATGTTAAAGTTTGACTGGAACAGGCTATACATTTCTTCTATCTGATGCTGTATGTGTTTGGAGGAGGGGGAGTTGAGGGGAAAGTGTATTGACCATGGGGGGAAGCTGTGCTGGCGGGAAGTGCGCGGGCCTGTCAATAATTCCGTGTGTGTTGGCTCGACCAATCACGCTGCATTGAACGCGTTGATAGGGATATGGGTGTCTGTTGAATGTTGTCTAGGTACATGGAGCATGTGGGGACATTTGGCACCGCGTGCGATACCGTGAATGTGTTGCGATGGTGTGCAATTAGCATGCGATTGTTCTGCAGTTCACGTCAACCAATTATTAATGCGTTCGGCGACACCCACGTGCGGCCCGGGTTTCGGACACCTGGCAGCATAAGCTGTACATACGCGCCACAATCGATTGGGACACTTTCTTTGAGAAAGTGTCTAGCGCGGAATGTACCCTAAGAAAAAACCCTTTCCTTGGTCAGGGTTTACTGCCTTCGGAAGTGCACGGTCGGTTGGTTTCCTTGACACCAAAGCAACCTCGCGTTGTCTTCAGTTTCCCTTTGCCCAATGCACCCAACCTCGTATTCCCGAGGCTCCCGCCCAGCTAGGTTGGCCCGCTATAATAACTCGTGTCATTCATTGTATTGTTAGTCCATATTGTTATTCTTTAATCCGCGCAACTCTGTGAACAACTCATAGCAGTAGCCTACATCCAACTTTGGGCCCCGCCCCTCCCCGTCCACCCCCAAATTCAAATGCACTCCATAAATCACAACTCGTCAAATTGAAATAATATATGTACAATGGTCTTACAAAATCTGTGGATATTCACCCTAATATATGGATTTATAAATATCCCCCAGGTCCTATACCCGGCGATGAGGATGGGGATGCCCCACTGCTGCCACGCGCTGGGGGGCTGGGTGTGCCTGGGTGGGGAATCAACAAAAAGAGATAGGGCATGTACATAGTTTCTTTACTGCGCGAGGTCACAGAAAGAGAGAGAGCGATGAGGATGGGAACGCCCTACCACTGCCACATGCTGGGAAGCTGTGTGTGCCTGGATGGGGAGTGGGGGGAGGGGGGGGAGTTAACAGGGAGGTGGTGGATATCTGCAGACTTGGAAGAGCTCACTTGCACCAAGCTGGGTGTCAAAACCGTTAAGGCGTGTGTTAAGAGGCGAGACACAAGAGAATGCTCAACCACACCACAGTCCCGCAGGAAAGCTCCCTCACTTGCACCAGACTGCGGAGAGTCGTCCTACTATGGGAGTATTCCACATGGGAAGTGCGTAGGATTCATCGTGTTGTGCAGCTCATAATACGTAGCAATAGACAAAGACTTTTGCTAGCAGGAATCAGCAACAAAATGCATGGGAAAATAATACTACAGAAGACATGCTAGGCTCGAACGCCTTGAACAATTTTGTCGCCACCTACCTACGAGGGCGGCTTGCCAACACAGCAATAGCAGGTGAGTGAATTACGCGCATGCACTTTACCAACCAAAGTAGGTGCAGGTTTGCACGACAGATGGTTATGTGAACGCTGTGCACATGATGTGTGTGGGCGAAACCCATGCACATGCAAAATTTCGCTGACCAGAAATTTGGTTGACCAGAAAGACGTTACAATTTCGCTGCGAACGTCATTAGTTCCGACTTTCGACACCTCATTGAATTTTACTCTTGTCAGATGGGAACGTCGATTGGGAGAATCGATGCTCGCCGATTGGAGACTTGTCGCCATAGACGTCACAAAAGTCCCGTTGACCAAGAAACCAAGCCTGCATGCATTGCATATCGGCCACGGAGGCTGACTATCGACAAGCGGGGCCGATGCCTTTTGTCAACACAGACCTCGTACTTTCGCACACTTGCTCCCATTCCTTCCACAGGCACCGATGCCCGGTGCTCCCAGGGGCGGTTTCGGAACCCGGAGTGGGGTTCATGTGGGGGGGCGAGAGGGCAGGAGAGAGGGAGAGCAGGAGAAAGGGAGCAAGAGAGCGAAAGCAAGAGCGGGCCGGGGGCAGGTTTCGAAACCAAGAAGGCTCACTCACTCACTCACCTGCACCAGACCTCGTACTTTCTCACCCCCCCTCCCATCTCCTCCAAAGGCACCACGGCTCGATGCTCCCAGGGACGAGTTTCGGACTCTGGGGAGGGGTGCATGTAGGGGAGCTTGTCGTCGGGGCGGAAGTAGGCGTGGGGAGGGACTGGAGAGACGATGGCGGAGAGAGTGGTTGGATCGGTGATGTCGTATAGCTCAAAGGACTTGGATGGGTCTGCATGGTATGGGTGGGGGAGGATGAGAGAGAAGAGGGGATGAGAAGAAGAGCACAAACGATACAGCGAGAAACCTTCTACCCACGGCCCCTCACTCACCAGGTGGTGCATACATGATGCAGCCCCTCACTCACCAGGTGGTGCATACATGATGCAGCCCCTCACTCACCAGGTGGTGCATACATGATACAGCCCCTCACTCACCAGGTGGTGCATACATGATACAGCCCCTCACTCACCAGGTGGTGCATACATGATACAGCCCCTCACTCACCAGGTGGTGCATACATGATACAGCCCCTCACTCACCAGGTGGTGCATACATGATACAGCCCCTCACTCACCAGGTGCATACATGATACAGCCCCTCACTCACCAGGTGCATACATGATGCAGCCCCTCACTCACCAGGTGCATACATGATACAGCCCCTCACTCACCAGGTGCATACATGATACAGCCCCTCACTCACCACGTGCATACATGATACAGCTCCTCACTCACCAGGTGCATACATGATACATCCCTTTACTCACCAGGCGCATACAGCTCTTCTAGGACCTTCTGAGCAATGTAAGTCACGTCAACGGAAGCAGCTAGTGACCCGTAAACTGCTCGCCCTGCTGCTGACTGATTCGAGTGGTTGGTGGGGAGGTTGCGAAAGAGAGGAAAGACCACACCTGAGGTCGGGCGGATCAAGAGCAACAGTGGGGAGGGGAAACAGAAGAGAGGTTGGAACCATATGTTTAATCCTGTTCGCCTCTTGATTCTCCGCATAATTTGCCTCACCTCAACCAATCCCTCACTCCCTCACTCACCCACCCGCCACCCACCCACCCACTCACCGAATCCGGCATGAGTGAGCGGGTTAGCGAGGGGGTAGGGCCAGGTATAGAAGTGCCTTCCTGCCTCCACCAATGGGATGGCCCAGGAGAATCGCTGAAACATGTCGATGTTGCTGGGGCCGTTGGTGGCCCACAGCGTTGTGAGCTCGAGGACCTTGGCGCAGTAGATGGGGCGGTGGGCGCTGACAATCAGCGTGTTGTCTCTGATGCTGCCGTATTCCCGCTCAAAGGCCGCCCTGCAGCAATGCGTGTGGGGTGAATAAGGAGGGAACTGGTAAGGGGATATCGGGAGAGTTTTTTCGGAAAGAGATTGCTTTTTCTTGTGCTGGCGTATTGCTTCTCAAACAAGCCCCTACAGCAGTGATTTGTGCGGAAATAATGGGGGATGTATGGGGAGTGGTGGTTGGTCTTGCTGGCTCACACCACTCAAACACACTTGTCGCCAGGTTTGCTGCTGTTCCAACCCTACTCAATATTCTCACCTCCCTTTATTCTCACCACACCCCTCCCCCCATCGACCTTACCTCTCTCTCTATTCCTTCATCCCCCCGCTCTCCTCTCACCTCTCTGCATCGCGCACCACCGTACACGCGAGCGCACCGGTGTTCCCCGGGCGGGTTTGAGCGGTGCGAGTGAGATACGACATCCACAAGTTGCAGTTCAAACACCACCCCATGTCCCACTTGCCCGGCCGCCCTGGCGTTCCCATCACAGAGATTAACCCCGCCAGAGTCTGAAGAACGGGAGGGGATCAGATTGAGTCGTTCGTTACACAAGGCGCAGAGTCTGAACGGCACAAGCCCCTGCGTTTAATGTTCCGTCCATGTCCCACACGCCCGCCCTGGCCTGTCCCACATGTCCGCCCTGGCCTGTCCCACATGCAATTCCTCTGTCCCACATCCGCCCTGACCTGCCGTCACAGACATCACAGCGCCGTAAGTCTGAAGTGAAGAATGGGAGGGGACAGGAGTGGGATAACTGGGAGATCTTGAACACTACGCACTCATTCCTTTTGGTTCTTGCACGCCTATAAGTGCCTCACAAATGGGAGGGAAGTGGATTGGATTGGGATCATTCGACTACGCCAAACAGCATCAGGATGAGCAGCAGAAGGGGTAGCAGCCCGCATGCTTCACACGCGGCCCACATCCCACTTGCAAGTTGCCCCGGCCTGCTCACGCGTGGAAGATTGTTACGAGGTGACTTATGAGTCGACTCAACGGTCACCTTGCCGCTCACGCGTGGAAGATTGTTTCCCAAGCTTGTTTGTGGAAGCAGGGAGGAGGGGAGAGGGGAGGGGGACGGGGGGGGGAGGGGGGTGGTGATGAGAGCTGTTCATGCGCCAGAAGTCACGAGCGCAGTGCTGCGCTGCACAGTGCTGTGCTGCGGATGAGTGCTATCCAAACGAACCTGTATCTGCCCCGCGTGGGCCAGAACGAGTTGCTGCAGCGTGAGGGCGCGCTCCTTGCACCACAAGCCTAGCGCCTCCTCCCTGTGATCCTCGTACTGCTTGTGCCGATCCCACAGCAGCCACGCCGCTATCGCTGTGCCGCATGCCACCCACACGACCACCAGCACCGTGAACAATGGCGCTGGGTGTGGGAGAAGGGGAGGGTGTGAGGAGAGGGGGGGAGCGGGAGAAGGAGAAGGAATGAAGGATAGTACGGGCTGCTGCTTCTGTGCGGGAAGCTGGGAGCAAAAGGGAGATTAGAGATATCTTGCTTCCCTAACTTTTCATTTCCCCTCTCTTACTACCCCTATCTCTCCCTCCCCTCTCCCCTCCTGTCACCGCCGCTCCCCCTTTACGTGTTTGGAAATTGTTCAAAGCAGCTCCGAGGTTATTTACTAAACAGCACAGGGCATCCGTGAGATCTCCAATACCAAAGGAAGAATATTGGAGAAGGAGATCTAGCACCAATTTTTTATCCGCAAAATCTAAAGCTGCAGCCTGAAAGCACACTTCGACATTGTCACTTTACCCTGAAAAAGCACCGGGGAGCAATCGACTGGATCCCCCGCTGTCGCGACATCCTCTTCTTCCCACGCCTGCTTCTGTTTCATACAGCTTGGGGTGACGTGTTTTCTCCAACCGCCGCCGCCGCGTTCGGAGGCTTTCGGCAAGGTCATCAGCACCCGCTACGGTAGTGACAGCTAGTACTAGTAGTCCAAGTACTAGATCCGCCTCCGAGTCCGTTTTTCGCCGCCGCGGTGATCGCCAACCGGGAGCGGGCTCGCGCTCCGTAGAAGCAGTTTAAGATTCGGTGAGCCGTCTGAGTCAAAGTTTCAGAAAGTGCGGACGACAAACATAACTACTAGATAGCAAACTTGCCAAGGAAGTGACCCATGGAGATTCAATGTCAGCCATTCGTTTGGTCAAAATCAGGTCAGTCAGACGAGAGAGTTCCAAAGAAATCCTCAGCCAAATGAGTCAAATTGAGAACCCCCATTTCTTGCACAACACAATCGGAACCGAGATGCCAGCCAATTCCTAAACAGGTTTCAGCCTAGGCTATTTTATTGGGTAAGTAGCTTTGGCAGGGGTACTACTAGCGACCCTGCGCTTTGAAGGAGACTACATGCCCAGTAGCGGGCACTTTCCACCCCTCCGCGCCTCAGACAGGGAAGTTATACACCCTTATTCTCGGCCTACGCACAGTTGGGAGCCCAGGCTACAGTCCTTACTGTATCTTGGACCCTAGCGATCTGGTGCTTGGAGCCGAACCCTAGGTAAGTGGAGGGCAAATGCACTCCATGAGGAACGGTACACCCTCTTTCTCGCCATTGTGAATCCGGTTTTAGTGAAGTCAAGATGGGAAAAGCACGGTTAACAGTGGTTAGATTAAGTCTCGGTATGGTTCAATCAGACAAATCGAAGGTAACTAGGTTTTCCACCAGTTCGGCACAGTTCATAGTAGTGAGAAACAGGGTGTATACAACGGTGTTTAGTAAGAAATTTGTTTTTATGTACGCTTAAGTAAGGCAAATGTACTTACAGGGTATGTTCTTGAACCATTTTGGACGCATTGATGTCATTACAGCTGGCAGGTTCATGTGGCGATTGTACATGTGGCGAGAAGGAGGGTGTAGAAACAAGACAGTACACCCTCGCTCTCACCACATGCACAATCGCCACATGAACCGGGCGCTTGTAGTGACTGAAACATGCCAAGAATGGTGCTACACCCTTATTCTCAGTCTTCTCACCGGCGGAAGCAGTGGCTGCAGTAATTGGACATAGCGGGCTGGTGAGATAACTTGGTTGCGGGCCAAGTCGCACGAGGCGACGAAACCAGACTTGGGCCGTAAAATTCCGTTAACGCTGAATAACTGTCTTAACCGTTTAGAAAACAGCATTGCCATTTTAGAACGTATAGAACCTTGACTAAACGCCTTGGGTCAAACTGTCAGTATAACGCATGTGATAGGACCTCCTTTGGTCCGCTGCGGCTACACTAAGCGTCCCGGTCAGTATAACTTATGCCAGTCTAACGAGAATGAGGGTGTAGCACATACCCTATAAGCACAATCACGACTGCCACGTTGGTAGTGCAGTTGTTTACTTTGACTGGCCAGGAAGTGTACAGTGCGCTCGCATGTGTGGTTGGCTGCCGCTGCTTTTCGCTCTACCATACATTACCCCTTTCTACCGAACGTAGATATTATGTATATGCTTTGAACCCATGTTCGGAATTGTATGTTTCTTGAGTGTTTTGATGTGGAATCTTTGGCCACAATGTAGGACAAAGTGAGCAGATCATTTAGAATGTTCTATTTTGGCGCTTGGTGCATGGTGTGCCTGGCAACACTAGGGGGTTCGGCCACATGCACAGTAGCGCTACCTGACAACACTGTAGTCGCTGCTCCCAATTGTGCGTAGGCCGAGAATGAGGGCGTAATCTTCCCACATTCACCAGCGTGTCAACAGTTTCCAAATCGAATCCACACTCTGGGTGGCTCGGCTGCCACACTGTTCTGAAATCTGATAGGCTACTGTTTCGCGCCCAAAATTTCGGAACACAGGCCTGCGTCAGCAGGCAGTGCAATGAGTCAGCGGGCAAGTAAAAAAATAAACCCCACATGGAAGGCATGCAATTAGGGAGGCATCAACCCTAAATTTTTAGGGAGGCATGCCAAAGCTACTTGTCCTGCTCATAGGAGCTACAGCTGATGCTCACCCCATGCACGTGAATTTGCCTTGCGCTGGATGGATACGCTGCACCCGAGGTTGTTTCCCCAGCCTCATGCACCTACATTACAAGCGCGTCGCGTGGTTATCAACCAATAGTAACGAACAGAACGAAGTCAAGCAGAATAGACTGAAGTTTTTTTTCATTATGAATATATCAGAATACACCGATGAAGCAAGCGTATAAGAGATATATGTCAGTAGTAACTGGGCGTGAGAGGCCAAACCCTCAGTGGTGGCCCCAAGCGAGGCTTCTAAGGCGGATGCAGAGATCCCCTTGCAAGACTCCATAGCGCGCCAAAACTGTGCGTCCACTTCCAGCCTTTTGCCGTTGGACACCGGATGCGCCTGAGCAAATTGTCCTCCTGGCCAGCCAGCACATGCGAGCTGGCTTGTCTTTTGTAGCCACCGCTTTTCCCGAGCTTCTTCCCCATGGCGCGCGTGTACACTATCACATGCAGCCGAAAGGCTGCTTCGATGCGCCTGAGGACCCGCCGAGTTCGAAATCTCTTCCCCCGAAACACACAGTCACACCGCTCCGCCCAAATCTGATGGATAGCGATGGCGGAAAGAGAAGCTTCCGGAAATGCCGAGGCAGATGCCGCTTTCCCAAACAACAGGTCCCCCAGATCCGACACATGTCTCGCTGGATTCAGGACACGTAGGGCCCGTCTAACTGCCCCCACCACTCGTTGGATGCGCGGGCAGCTGAAGAGACAGTGTTCCACAGTTTCGAATTCCCCACAGTGCGGGCACACTGGCTTGCCGCTTATAAAAGAGAGCCTCTCCCCCACCTGCAGGTTAAGGCTATGAATCCTAAGCAGCCTGTTCGGCGTCACCAATGAGTTCCGGATCTTAATCACCTTTTTCCAGTCAATGTCACCAGCCCATCTGCCCGCCCAAAGTTCCCTCTTGGCGGACTGATGCCTCTGCTTTGTCAAACAGCCCTTCAACTCCTTCAACGACACCACCTGCCCATCTTTGAACAGTGCCGATTTCAGAAGACGAGGAGCTGCAGGCGGAGATGACAGCTGCGGTGGCTCAGCAGACAGAAGACTCTCCTTCTAGGTCTGCGGCACAGCTTCCCAGGCCCGTAGGGCCAGCTTCGCTTGTTTAGAACCCCCCAACTCATGTGTTAGGGTTTTCACATCCTTGACTTTACACCCCCCCCGCGCCATTCGGTATCAGTAGGTCACCCAGCCGAAGCTCCCATAGCTTCGCCGCAGCTTTCTGTTCCCAGACTGAAGTAAAATATGGTAACAGATCTTGTATAAAAGCACATGCGAATCCTTTTTAGCTAGCTGTGATTGACGAAATTAAGCGACATGCCATGTTACAGCTTATACGCTCCCTTCACAAGGCAACCGGGGGGGGCTCAAACAGGCATCATGTGTACTGACTTGCGGTGGGGTTCGTGAGGCCAGGTCTTTTGGTTTACACGTCACCCCACTGAACCGACTTTCTAGCCACACGCCAGTTGGCTTGCTCGGCTACAGTCCACTGGTCGCTGGCTGTACGCGGGCAGAGCAACGAGGTTGACACACAGCGACCCTGGTCAAAAACGATTCGCGACACAGAGCGACTCCGGCTAGGAGGCAAATACGGAAGGGCCACATCGACAACTAAGAACCTGTCAATGTGTTTTATAAACCTGAATTTTAAACTGTTTTGTGGACGTTATCATTTCCCTCACTTATGCCCGCCCGCGGTGAAGATAGACAGCTGTTCCAGGTCACACGCGCGAAAAAACTGGTGGAGTACGATCGTGATCATATCTCAATCAATCTGGAGCAGTTACTTCTTGTATTCACAAAAATATCACTACGTAGTACAGAAAAATACGGGAATCCGAGTTGTGACCCAATACGCCTTGCCTCTGCAGTGTGCCTTGACAGTGTGTTTTTCATTTTCGAGGTTGAATCGAGCTGGGCGGAAAACCCGAATTCCCTGCCTAGCTAAAACTTTTGGGTCCTACAGTCGATCCTACATTTAACGGCGTGTTGCGACCCAAAGAGGTCAGGCATTTAATCCCAGGAGCTAGAAACTCTGGTCGAACTTGGTCTTCCTGCCTAGATTCGACGTGTTTGTGGCTGTCTCTATGCGTAAGTGCGTGGTGGTTAAGATTTTAGTGGTGTAGGTGGGGAGATGAGAGGCCTGTCGGTGGGCCTCCTATGTGCGGTCACTAGCGATGCACGCCACTCTGATCTAGAGCTGAATCTCTGGTGTTTCAAGCCGATTCTGGAAATTCCAGTCACAAACGCCACTGGACATACTCCAGCTTAGAGGAAAAGCCGCGCAGTTGATGAAGTTCTACACAAGGGAAAGAGATGGCAGGGTGTCTGCCGTAACGAGCCGGGACACGGCAGTGTTGCACGTAACAGCATTTGCAGAGTTTGTTTTTAGTAGACACCAGCCAAACCCAATTATGTCAGTGTGGGTCCGACAATAAGCACTGAAATGCAGGGCAAACAGGGTCTAACGCCCTAGGGCCCTGGTCTTGAGGCTTCGTACATTTTACACATGTTCAGTACAGTACGCAACAGTTTACACGTATCAAATCAACCGCCTTCACCAAACAGTGTCGTACTGCAGGTTTTCTGTGAGGATGAACCGCAACACGATATTCTCAGGAGATGAGATCGTGTGACACGATCTACCGCACGACCGACTTAATTCC